ACCCCAACCCCAACCCCAACCCCAACCCCAACCCCAACCCCAACCCCAACCCCAACCCCAACCCCAACCCCAACCCCAACCCCAACCCCAACCCCAACCCTAACCCCAAATCCCAATCTCTCACAACTTATAAATAATTTTTTTTAAATATTCTTTTTATTAATTTAAATATCCTTTTAATTTTTATAAATATTTCATATTTTTATTTTAATAATAATATTTTTATAAAAAATATAGTAAATATTAATATTTTGTTAAATAAAATAAATTTTTACATTATTGATATGTTATATATTCTTATTTTATATATATTTTATATGTATTTTTTACTTATATATTTATCAGCTTTTTTTTTTTTTTAATCCATAATATAATTTTTATATTTTCATAAAATTAGGGATATCTTTGAAAATTATGTATAATTTAAAATTAATAAAAAGAAAAAAAATCTTTTTATTTAAATTATTATAATATTTTAATTTTGTATATTTAAATTAATATTATATATATCTATAAATTTAAAATAAAAAAAATAAAAGTAAAATATCTTAAAATTCGTTATAATGTTAAAATTTTTTAATAAATTTTCTAAATTCTACTATAATAACTTTTATTAATTTTAAAAATTAAAACATTATTCGAAATCATTAACTTTTATATTAATAGGAGCAAATACTGCCTTTTACGTTTCTCCATATATTTTTAATTAAATTATATATAACCAGCTTTTTAATAATTTAGCTTTAAATAAAAAATAAATAAATGATGGAAAATATCATACACTATTAACCTATAGTTTTATTGATTATAGACTTATGTCATTTCTAATCAGTTAATTTTTGCTATATTAAATTGGAATTAATACTGAAATAATTTTTAGTAGAACAATCTTAGGATAATTATATTTTGGAGGAACGTTTTTGGGAGGATTATTTATGTTATTGACACAAAAAGAGAATACATATTAATATGGAAATTTACCAGGTGTTTTTTCAATTCTAATTTTTAATATTATGAATTTTCCTAAATAATAAATTTATTTTTTTGGAATACCCCTTACAATGTAAATTTTGGGTGTGGTTTTAATTTTATAGTCAACTTTTTTAGTTTAAAAAAAGGGACCAGGTATAAATGCTATGGGATAATATGGAGGAATGGCATTTGGAGTATTATATTATCTTTTAAAGTTTTCAGGGCGTCTTTGAAAATAAATAGTTAAATTAATTAAATAAGGAAAAATAATAAAAAAATTATTATTAATTGTGATAAAATATAAAATAAATTATTAAAATTTTTACATATTTTTATTAATTTTATACATTAATAAAATTAAAAAATATATATATATAAATTATTAATATTATTTTTAATCGTAAAAATAATATGTTTAATTTATTTTCATTAATAAGGCGATTAAATAAATTAATTTAAATACTTTTAAATATAAATAGATTTTAAGATTAATTATTCAAAAAAATATATTATATAATAATATTATTAAATATTTGAATTAAAAATGTTATATTAAATTTTTAAAACTAAATTCTTATTAAGTATATTTTTTGTTATTTGAGGACCCTCATTATTTATTAAAATATATTTTCTTTATAATTGATTTTTTTTCGTATTTCTTATAATATTTACTTCATTTAAATTTATGTATGTTGATAAGCAATTTGATTTTTTATTTGCTATACAGTTACTTGATGTTTAATATATGTATTTTATTAAATTAAATTAAAGTTGATATAAAATATTATTAGAATTATTGATACTATTTCTTAGTTTTTTTAAAACTTTTATTTTTTTATTTTATTAATAAAGAAAAATAAAAAATTTCAATATTGAATTCATTATACATTTTAACAATATTTTTTTTAAAAAACAATAAACAAAAAAAACTAAAATAAAATAGATTATAGCATTTTTAAATTGATTTAGTTTACTTTATCTTTATTTAATAAATGTAATGATTTTATATAACATTGCATTTCGTGCAATTAATAAAATTAAAAAAAAAAAATTATAATATTTTATATATAATTAAAAATATTAATTTTTGTATTTAATGGATTAGATGATTATAAAGATCAAAAAAAGAAAAATAAGATGATTCTAATAATATATATTATTTATTTTTTATTTAAATAACTCTTAGAAATAAGTATAAAAATAAGATTTCTTTATTAAAATAAATATAAATATATATATATATATATATTATATTTATTTTATTTATTTAAAATATTTTATTTATTTATTTATCTATATTATATTTTTAATACTCTTATTATTTAAAATATAATATATTATTAAATAATAACAATTAAATTATATTTATAAATAAGATTTTCGCATTTATATAAATATTTGCCAATTATTTTTTCTATGTTTAATTTTATATTTTTTTTTTACTTTTTTTTTATTGTTTATCATTTTAAATAATTAAAATAATATTAATTCTATATAAAAATTATTTCTTTTTTCAATAAACGCATATATTTTGTTAAAAAATAAAATTAAGTTATTTTTAATTATATTAATTAAACTAATATTATTATTTATAGATTAAATTTTCTGTTTTACTCTATAAATTAATAAATATTTTATTTGCTTTATTTTTATAAAAGTTAATAAGATAATTATTTTCAATTTAAAAATATTCTATTTGCAAATTATTTTTTAGAATTTATTTAATTATACTTTTTAAATAATTTTGTATTAAAAAATAAATAAATATTTTATATTAAATAATTATTATTTTATTTAGATTTCGAGTATATTAATTTTTATATATTTTTTTATTTAAGGTCATTATATAATTTTATATTTTCAAATAATTAGCAAAGCTAGAAAAAGCTTATATTTTAATTATTTTTCGATAAAATTAAATATAATAAAAACATTCAAAAAAATTATGGAATAAGAAAACTAAAATATATTTTTAATTGACTGTTTAAAATAGTAACTAATTCAAACTACAGGCTAAACTATAACTATATTTAACTAACTATAAAATAATGATTCATTGGGAAAATTAAGGTAATAAACAGTAGATTATTTGAAAAAAATAGCTTAAATAAGTAAAAAATCTATTTTTAAAATTTTATAATTATTTTTATTTATAGTTAATGATTCTTAAATAAAAGATTATATATATTCTATTTAAGAAAATTAAAGCAGCTATCTAAATATGGTAATAACTCCAATAAGGTAATAAAAGAAAATGCCTTCGAGTAGTATAAAAAGATTTAAAAAAAAAAATGAATTAAGTTAAGAAAATTAACAGTTAAAAGCTGTAAATATATAATCGTAAGATTTATAAAGTTTTAATATAAACAATAATTTTTTATAAAAAACATAATCTTTAATAAATATTAATAGTGATTATTATAATAAAAACTTATTTAAATAAATAACTAATGTATGCTAATTTTCATAGCAAATTTAAAAAAAAAACTAAACTTATCATTTGAATAAAGTAGTGAAAAATTAAATAATACTTAAGAAGAAATAACTAAACAATAACATATTTCATAACCAATTTAAACTAAAAGAAATTATCCCTTTATAAAATAAGGAAATTAAGATTCAGAAAAGGATGAAATTTATGAATTATTAGAAGAAGTTGGAGATTTATAATAAAGAGAAGAGGGAAATGAAAAAGAAGAAAGTGAATATTAAAATGAAAAAAATAAAAACTCTAAAACGAGAGGACCTTATTAAAAATATACTAAACAACTAAAATAATAAATAATTGATTAAGTAATATTTTTCTTTTTTTTTAATAATTAAAAATTTAAAGATAAATAAAGGAATCAGCTTAAAATTGATATCTGAGAGATATAAAGTACCTTTAAAAAACATAACAAGATGGATGTAATTCGGGATAGAAAGAAAAGAAGGAGGTGGAAGAAAAATAATGGACATTTAAATGGAAGTTATATTAATAGAATATTGCATAGACTACGTTTTAAGAAACAAAAAAAGATGCTAAAGGGAATTAATTATGAATAAAGCATTATAATTATCTATTAATTAAAAAAAATTCAAGGGATCTAAAGGATGGTTAGATAAATATTCGAATAGAACTAATTTATCCTTAATTATGAAAGATTTAAAGAAAATATAAGTTTAGAATGAAGATGAAATATTAATTTAGGTTAAAAAATATTCAATTAATTATATTTGTTTTACTTTAAAAATTTAAAACCCAATTGTATATTCTTATAATTAAAGATATTTAGATTTCTTAATTTAATAGTAATCATTATATAAAAATTTTTGGAATATTGGAGTTAAAGAATTTAGAAGTAGAATAGTAAAATATCAAAATAATAATTAAAATAATTCCTTAGATTAAAATATTAAGGATTTAGTTTAAATATTTGGTTTAAAATATGAATAAATAATTATTTGAAAAAAAATTATATTAAAAAAAATAATTATAAAATAATAATATATAACATAGAATAAAAAAATATTAAATAAATCATAATTATTATTATTATTATTATTATTATTATTATTATTATTATTATTATTATTATTATTATTCTTCTTATTATTATTATTCTTCTTATTATTCTTTCTTATTATTCTTATTATTATTATTATTATTATTATTATTATTATTATTATTATTATTATTCTTCTTCTTATTATTATTATTATAATTATTATTCTTCTTATTATTCTTCTTATTATTATTATTATTATTATTATTTTTCTTTTTTTTTTTATTCTATTTATCCTTATAATAAATCAGTTAACATTTTTAAAGAAGCTTCTGGCTTATTCATAGGCACCATATGTCCAGCATCATATACTCTAAGGAAATGTAAATTATCAACAGATTTAATTTCGCCAAAGCTATACCATTTTTTATACTCTGCCTTTTAGAATTCTTCTTTTTTTGCCCATTAAACATTATTAGTCCATTTTTCTCCACCTCTCCAATTACAAATAAAGTCTTTATCTCCTGTATAAACTAATATATTTATTTTAATATCTAATAAAAGTGTAATTTTAGGTGAAAGATTCAACATCCAATCGGTATATAAAGCTCTACGAACATCATCTTTACAATTAGCCCATTATCTACCCTAAACTCCCAATAATCCAATTACGTCTTATCTCATAAGGAATTTACTAATCTATGAAAAATCATAACAACGTGGAGGAACATCACATTTTTCTCTAATATCATATTTATTAAATTTTGGTTTCATAGGATTTCCCATTATTGCTTCAACGCTCATTTGACATTCTTTCATAGTTAAAACAAAAGGAATATTATATTTAATCATCTGTTTACATATATAAAAAGCGCCTTTAAGTAAAACATATTATATATTACCAATAAGATTATTTTCATATGCGTAATTAACATATTCTTAGTATTAATTATAAGGATCTACTAAACCATTTCCTATTGCTACACCTACTAAGTTCATTCTTGTATCTTTTTCAGTCACAATTTTGGCTGTAATGGCTGGAATATAATGTCCTGCGTAAGATTCTCCAGTCACAAACATTTCCCTGCCTGCGTATTAAGGGAATAAGGTATAAAAGTCTTACAAAAATTAAAAGAAATCAGCCGCAACTCCATTTTCATCTACTACAAATTCGTTTAAACCAGCTTTAGAGAATCCTGTGCCTACGGGTTAGTCAACATAAACTATATTAGAGTGTTCATTCCAAGAGTAAGGATTTTTAGTAAGATTTAAATCGTCGCGAATTTTATAAGGACCATTTTCTGCGAAAAGAGCGGTTACGGAAGAACAACCAGGGCCGCCAGTAAGCCAGAAAACTAAAGGATCTTTTTAAGAATCAGAGCGAGATTCAAAATGCCAATAAAACATATCACTTTCTTCTCTTATTTTTACAAAACCAACATTGTAGGATTCGTCTAAAAATACTGGATTTTTATCTTAGAGAGTGAGTGATAAAAATATGTGAAAGATTATATATTTTATCATATTTTCTTTTTATAATATTTATTTTAAAATAATTATTATATTTTATATTAAAAAATAAAATAAATATAATATATATATATATTTTATATATTTAAAATTATTTTTTTTAAACTTATATATTTTTGATTATATTAGTCTTTAAGAAAAAAATATAAATTTTCATATGAATTAAAAATAAATAGATAATAATAAATATATAAAAATAATAATAATAATAAAAATTATAATAATAATAATAATAATAATAATAATAATTATTATTATTATTATTATTATATTATTTTTCTGGAATATAGAAATAATATAAATATTACTAATTGTTTTTAAAAAATATTTTATTCCTTTTAATTTAATAAAATAAATTATTTAATTTTATATTTTTTAATATACAATACAAAAATAATATACTATCAATTTTTTATCATTACCAAAATATTAGTAAAACTATAGAATTTTAATTATATTATATTACTTCATTTTAATTAGAATTAATTAATTCAATTAAAAAAAGCTTCCAAAATTAATATTACAATTTTTTTTTTTTTTTATAATCCATTTAAAATATGATTCTATATTAAATAAAATTTTAGTTTTTCAATTATTTTGGTTTCATCCATATTATTATTATATAAATTATGCCGAATAAATATTTTTATTTTTTTAATATTTAATTTTTTTTTTTATTATTTATTTTAATATCTTTAATTATTTATTTAAAATTATTATTATTGATACTTTATCGAATTTACATATATATTATAAAAAACTAATATTATCAATTATAATTATGAACAATATTAGCATTATAAAGTCTATTGTTTTCTCCTGCCACATTATAATCAGTATATGGTAAAACACAAGGACTTAACTAAGGATTAATTTTCATTGCTTTTTTAGTCAATTCCAACCATTTTTCTTCTATAGCATTTCTTTCTTCGTTTCTCTTTTTTTGCATCTTTTGCCAAATATAAGGTGGGTGTATTTTTATATAAGAGGGCTTTTTCAAAGGCGTTATAGTCTAATTCTTTTAAAATTTATCTCAAAGCAATTAAAGATTCCTATAAAATTTTATGCCAATGATTATCTGCAATTTTATTAATAACTGGAATTATAAGTGGGAAAGCAACTTGTTTATAATTTTTAAGGACAGTAAGAAAATATTCGTTTTCAAAAAAACACATTGACCTGTCAGAAACTTATAAATGAGGTCCTGCTATACACTTAATAATTCTTCTAAATAATTAATCCACATAAGGTTCTAATTTATGAATTTCGCAAATTTCTAAAACCTCCAAAAGTTCAGATAAAAACATCATTTCTTTTATTGAATTACTATTTGGCCAATATTTTAGCAATCCATTCAATAAATCAACTGCCAAATCAGGCATTTTCGATAAATATAACATTGAACACCTTTATAACTGTTCATGGTAAAAATGAGAAGTCTATACCTTATGTAAAGGAATTAATGTTTCTTTGAAAAACTCAATATGTTAATCCCTTAAAGGTGTATTAAATCCACTCACTACAGAAGCTAAAACATCCAATAATTCTGACATTCCATTAAAAGAATATCTTTCATGTATAATTTAATTAAAAATATTAGTCATTGCTTTTCGAAAAGTTTTTCTTCTTTAAATTAATTTTCCATAAAGCCTATGAATAATGTTTTTGATGTATTCTCTTTCCCTTGGCTCATTGCTGTCAAATAATTCGAACAATTAATATATGAATTTGTATTTGACACCTGGTAATAATATATTAACTTCCATATAATCGCTTGCTATTAATTATAAAAAAATATCGTATACAGGTTATTAGTGGGGCCAGGCTGTTACTACATACATGTCATTTAAGTCTATTTCTGGTTCAACTTTATTTTAATTCTAAAAAATAATTATTTAATTTATTTTTTTACGTTAATTTTATGCTTGCTTTTTTTATATAGGTAGTGGCCTTTGTAGGTTTTTCTCTATCATGGTCATTATATGAGTAAATTAGGGGAAAATTAAAGATGGATAGGCGTTTTGGACTTATAGGAGGTCTTACATTTATTATAAAAAGTATAATCGATCATTTTTTTATTATATGTCATTATTTTCATCATTAAAATCTAAAGGACGTGAGCAATATTCTATCATATCAAGGAATTGCTTGATTAATTGAGGAGGTACTTTTTCTGGTTCATCTATTTTTTATAATTATTAAACTAAATTTTTTTCCATTAATGATATCTTTATAATAAAAATATATTTAATTTTAATATAATAAAAAATAATATAATATATATTATTTTAAATAAATATTTATTTATATATATATAATTAAATAATTTTTTTTTTTTTTTATTATAAATTTTTAAATATTTATACAAAAGTTTTTAATCAAATAAGAAAAAATACACATAAAAGAATGAAAGTATTATAAATTTTAAAACGATGTTTAGAATATATTTAAATCTTAAATTTAGATAAGAAAAATAAGAAAAATAAGAAAAAATTTTTAAATAAAAAATATTTTTGTATTTAATCGCATTAAATTATATTCATTTCTAAAATGATAATAATATTTTTATTCTAAGTATACCTTTCGCTACTTGATTCATCATTATTAATTGAAAATAAATACTTATTGTTTCAGTTAAATAATAAAGTTTAAATTGAAAATAAAATTAAATATCTATATCTAAAACATTTTTTTAAAAAAAATTTAAAAAAATAACCTTTTAAAGAAAAAATAAAATAAAACCTAAATATATATAAAAAAAATTAAATTTTTTAAAAAATAAATAAATATATAAAATGAGTGAAGAAGTATAAATAAACACATTAAAATATGGATAAATAATAACAATTAGTCGTTTTGAAGATATAAAATCATTTGTAACCTCTGACGGTCATGCCAAGAATAGTGTTTTTTTAAAAAACTTTTCCAAATAAAATAACAAGAGCAGCCAAAATTCAAAATACTAAAATATCGTTATTAATAAAGATGATTTTTCTAATTGTTTATTTTAGATATACCCCAAAGTCCAAAACTCTACCAAAACAAAAATCTTAAGAGAATCAGAACAATTTAAACAATAAAAAAAAAAGACCTAATCCAATGAACTTACAGTGTAAAAAATGGCTTTATTTAGTGCATTCTTAAAAGCCGAAGAAGATCGCAAAAACAATAAAATTAATTTCCAAGAAAACAAAAAAATACCCAAAAAGATGGTCCTCCCTTAAACTCTGACGAAAACACAAATAATTAATTTTTGAAGAAAATTCCTCTATATTAATCCCAACTTTATACGGAATTTAAGTCTAATGTAGATGAATTTAACAATATGATGGAAATTTCCCTTTCATATAATGAGCCTTTTTAACTCCTTCATTTGAATTCTTCTAAATTTTTGGCTTGTCAGATAATCGAGAGTAAATACGAAAAGGAAAATTATAAAATTCTTTTAGACGATTTTTCTTCTGAATAAACTCTTTTTAAAATCATACCTGCTTTTGCTTACTAAAAAGAGAGTGCAACTTATATTTACGAGAATGAATGTATTAAAATTGTCAAAGCATAAAATTTTAACAACAAAACAATAAATCTCCATTTTTCAGAAGAAATATGTCAAATGAAATAAAAAAATTAATTATAATAATAGACACAAATAATGAGTTAATTAACTAAATAACCTCAATAAATCTTCTAAAAGTCAACCTCTTAAAATATTAATAGAGAAGTAAATGGTTGTTTAGAAAAAGCGGCTATGCTTAAAGTATAAATATTTCAAGATTTAACTGATTTGTAAAATTAAAAATATCTCAAATGTGGTGATGCTATTTGGCTTCATCATTCTTAAATGAATTGTACATTAGCGGCGTAATAACTTCGTATAGCAACAACTAAAGAATAATTAACTTCATTAAATATAATAGTAAATATATATATTGCCATTTTTATTTAAAATTTAAAAGGAATGGATGTCAAAAAATAATTTAAAATCCATATAATATAAGCCGGATAAAATGTTTCCTTTGAAGATTATTCAGGAAATACATTCGGTCTATGGATAATTGAAAATTAAGATTTTCAAAAGGGAGGTTGTGTGGAATATAGAACAGCCTATAGACTAAAACACATGTCTTCAGGCTGCTATTTGAGCGTAATGGACGAAAATAAAAATAAAAGAGAAGAAATTTAGAAAGATTAAGAATTAAAAAATCAAAAGTTAAAAGAAGAAAATGCAAAAAACGACAAGAAAATAAACGTTGCTTATTATGACGATTTTTCTGATTCTTCTAATGAAGAAAAAGACAAGAGAAAAAAAAAAAAAAAAAAAATTATTTAACCAATAAACAATTAATAAAACGATAACAATCAAATAGTACTTACCCTTACTAATAATTACGAAGATCCTTTTACTCTTTTTTAGTTTTTTGCACTCGGAACATCCGAAAGTGTAAATGAGTAATTCGTAGAAACTGGAAGTTTTCTTTTTATTAGAAATATAAATAGCGGAATGTGGCTTGATATAGTTAATTTAGACCAAAACATAAACTAATAAAATGAAGAAAATGAAAGCAATTTTAATAAAGCCTTGAAAGCTTCATTTAAAATGCAAATGGCAGAAAATCAAGTATTTAAAGTTTTTTAGATTTCCTCAAATAAAATGTGGGAAGCTAAATTTGTTATTTCTTGCTCTCATGTATTGCTTAAATTTTTATTAAGTTTTAGAAATTCTTAAAATAACAATGACGAATAAAATTTAAATGTGCTTAAATAAAAGATAAAAACAGCCAAATACACAATTAATAATTTAAATAATTTTTGCAATAATAAATTACTAAATTACTAACCTGATTAAAAATACGGAATGTAGAATTCTAGAAGATAAAAATTATTAAAAGAATAATATTACATAGATTTTTTGATTAAAATTTTAGAAGATTTATTACCCAAAAATGAACTTGAATTGTGGATTTAATATAAAAATTAAGAAGACGAGGAAAAAAGATAAATGCAGAATGAATAAAATCATGATTTTTCGGATAATTAATAAATATTTGCTATATAGTAAAAATAAAACAAACCCAAAATATAAAATATTTAACTTAATAATGAATACATGCTTTATTTTAATGAAAAAGTATAATTAAAAAAGATATTTAAACAAAAAAATAATAAATATAAAAATAGGTTTAATTAGCTATAGATATATACAGTTTGCTTGTAAGTATTTGTAAAAACAATCCAGAAAATTAATTGTATACATTCGATTTAATTCCCTATTTTTACATACATTGTAAATATATTCCAGAAGCTATTGATTGCGTGATAAGTTTAATTTCTAACAACGAAACTATTTTAAATAAACTTTCAGATAATTTAAAAATACCTTACGAATATGAAAAATCTTCTTATAATGATTAAATCAACTAAAAGCAAATAAAAATACTAATAAATCTTTATGATCAAGATAATAATAATACAAATAATAATGGAGAATTAATTTCTTTCAAATAACATGAAAAAATAACCCCTAAGCCAATAAATATAATTATTTATTTCATGAATTTAATATGGGATGATAAAGCCTAATATAAATCACATTATTTAAAATTTTTAAGGTCTATTTGTAGAATATAAAATAAGGCAATATCTTTAAATTAGGAAAACATTTTCAAATTATTCAAAAAATATTCAAAAGTAAAATAATAAATACGATACGATTAATATTTCAAGACAGGAGCGGTAAAACTACCCGACCCAAACTCAACTGAATAAGAAATAAAATAATACGAAAGAAATGTGAGCGAATAAATAAGGTTTTTTTCTGAATTATCCTTTGGAAGGAACTTTTTGTGGTGCAAAGAACTCATTCCGCATTTTTCGAACCATTATTTATTAGAAAATATATGGAGTTAAGGAGAATTAAATAATTTTTCAGAATTAAGGGCATGTTTTTGTTAATTAGCAATGTCATTATATATTGACCATGATCCTTTGTAAAGAAAACCTATCCCTAACTATTGTAGGCTTTTCAATGAAATAGATGTTGCTGATGATGTTGAAGTTTTCAAATCAGAAAATAATTAAGAAAATGAAATTCTTATGTATAAATAATTCATTATTAAGCTACTTTCTTATCTTTAAAATTTTTCAGATAAAATTGAAGATAAAATAAAAGAATATTAAATAGAAGATCATAAAATGCATTAACTTAAATACGAAAATATGATGAAAGAAAATAGCTTTATTGATGATACTTTACTTCTAAATTCTATAGAACTAACCCATTTAATTTTAAATTTAGGACTTTTCGAAGCTTTAAAAGAAACAAATCAATTTAAATTTTTAGTTAAATATCTAATGAATGTAAATAAACATTTTTATTTTTATATTTTTTTTCATATTAGATTTTTATATTTGATGCTAAAAATATTCAATATATAGCCGCTTGTTAAATTACATTAAACAGAGAAAATGATAGAAGAAAAAACATAAAAGATTAAAAAAAAGTGCTTTTAAATTTTGATATTGCCGCAAATATGAAAAAACTTCAATAAGCCGCTAATTAAACAACATTACTTTTGAAATAAAGCAATTCAGAAAAAGAGACAAAAGAAGATGATGATATCAATTTTGATCCAGGGCAAGGAGATAATTAAAATCCTTTGGAATAATCTAAATTATATGATAATCATATAATGAGAGGATAAATTAAATTGAATAATATGTTATAAGAAATGAATTATTAAGATTAAGCTTAAATGTAAACTGAAATAAACGTTAAGCTTAAAATATTAGATATATTAGAAAATATTTAAAATTTAAGACAAAATTACTTAATTTCTAATGTTTTAAAATTTTTTAAAGATAACATAGCTGACATTGTTATAAGCTCGAATGATAAGGCTAGGTAAAATATATAAGAAATTTTGAGAAAAAATATCAAGAGTATTTTACCAAATATTGCTAAAACAGGAATTGATGTAGTTGATTAAATGTTCGATTAAAAAGATTCAAGTTCTTTATTAAATTCACTATCTATTAAATCTCTTAATCCCAAAAATATAAAAAAATACGATTCTAAAAATAAATTCCATTAATATATAAAAAGTAAATACAATTAATATATTTTTTAATAAAAAAATGATTATTTTTTTTATGTAGCTTAAGGATATTTACATTATAGAAATTTAGATGAATTAATATCTTCTGCAATAGAAAACAGCGAAGAATATGAAGACCCTATAGCTACATGCTTACCTCAACTAATAACCAGTTTTTTACTTATATACGATGAATAATTAGAAAAAAGAACATTAAAACTATTAATAAAAATGTATAATTAAAGATACGAATTAATTTAAAATATTAACAAAATGTAAATAATATTTGATTAATATACTTTCCAATTATTCGAAATACTAAAAAAAGTATGAATTAATTAAATAAATATGTCGAATAATCCGAAGTTTGGTTTACTACTCTTATAAAAAAATCATTCGAAGAACATGAAATAAGTAAAGTGATTGAAATTATAGATAATATGAATAATGGGTTTTTTTAGGCTATTGATTATTATGAAAATAAAATTGTTTTGGTAAAAAATTCAACATAAAGAAAAAATCAAAAAATAGATCCAGAAAAATAAAAAATATATAAGTATTTGGGAGTATATGAGCCCATAATTAATCTTTTAAATGATGGAATGTATCATTTCGATAACGCAATACTTGAAGAAAATTATCCTATCGACAAGAAAATTAGTTTAATTAAATTATTTGAAATTTGTTTTGAGTTTTTGTCGTATTTCACTTATAAAAACAAAGAAAACTAACATACGATCCAATAGCATATTCCTTTATTTTTAAAGCACTTAAGATATGACCTTGGGTAAATGAATTTAATATATAATATTTATGAGGATAATACAAGTTTACTTTTTTAATAAAATCATAAAAAATTAATTGAAATTTTTGTAAATTTAATTGAAACAGAAGGCAGATAAGTTCGATTTTTAGAATTTTTTGAAGTTTTAATAAAATTTAAAAGAAAGTATGTTTTCGACAATTAATTAATTGTTTTGAACACTTTTTTGCCTGTAAAGGAAGAAATTACATAAAAATAATTGAAACTTTTATATTCTGAATGTTCAGGTAACAAATAAATTAAACTCTATTTAGACGATATGTGTACTAGTCTTGAAAAATAAGGCCTGGTCTAAAAATTATAAGAAGTTAATTTTTTGGATACTTATAGAGATGAACCGTTTCTTTATCATATAAAATTGATTGATTTATTATTATAGACATGTTATATAAACATTAAAAAAAATAATCAGGATCAAAAATAGAAATAAGAAGAAGAAAACGAAGAAAATTAAGATGAAGAAAACGAAAATAATATTTTCATACCTAATCTTAATTAGAAAATTTTAAAATAAAAAATTGAGCAAAAAAAAGAAGAAACAGATTTAAATTTAAACAAAAATGAAGAAGAAGATGAAGAAGATTTAGAATTAAAATAATAATTAAATTAAAAAAAAAAATAATAGTAAATTTTAAACTAATTAAACGAAGATGTTGCCAAAGACCCACTATTATCTGAATATAACTTTAATATTTCAACAACAAAATTAAAAAAGTTATTCAAATTAACAGATTTGTTGGATATTTTATAATAAAAAGACTCCTTTGCTAATTGGAATAATTTTGATAAAAAATAACAAAAAATGATATCTAATAAATCTCCTTCTGCTTCTCCTAAAAATAAAATTAAAACCGAAAATATTAAATCAAACGTTCCGAGTATTAATAATTCTTTTGATATCGAATGTGAATCAATGATTTAAGATAAAAATAATATGTAAATATAAAAATAAGTAAGTTTTAATTATATATATATATATATATTCTTTTTCTAAAAATAAAATATTATAAATAGAGTTATGGTCTTTTAAAACCAAAAATAGTAGATTTTATTAGAAAAGTGCATATTTTATCTGAAAATATTATAACATAGAATTCTTATATGATAGTTCATTAGAAAGAAATCGCTCAATTTTTTGAAAAAGAATGTAGAAAGTTAGATTATTTATCAGGAAAACAATTCACTAAATAATACATTACATATTTGTTTGATTATTTGCTTCCTTTTTTTTATGATTATCATAGAAAATTCATTAAAAGAGGACTTCATAATTAAAACATACAAGAAGATACAGACAGAAAAGACGATAAAATGTTAACTTAAATAATATGTAAAATTCGAGATAAAATAAATTTATTTGAATAATTTATAGATTAAGTAATATTAATAAATAAATATATATATATAAATAAAAATTATAGATATAAATAAAAAGAATTAATATAATATTAAAATCAGTAAATGGATTAGAAGAACCAGATATTTATCTGAATTAAAAATCTCAAAATTAATCCAAAATTATTTAAAGTAAACCAAATGAAAACAGCTAACCGGCAGACATAAGTTCATAAGTAGATATTCAAATGAATAATTTAGAAATGTAATTATTAAAAAATACTTAAAACGCAAATACAGTCTAACCTTATGCAAATAAAAAAGTGCATTAAGCTGGATTAAAAGTGATTGGAGCGTTAAAAGTAACTGGAAAAAAATAAGAAAAAACAATTAGAAATTGGGAATTATTTAAATAAGTTTTAACGGAAGATGTAGCTATTGACTAGGAAGTTCAAAACGAAAAAATCGCATTAGCAGAGGCTATTTTGAGAGTTTAAAAATTCGTCACAAAAGAATATGCTAAAGATTTGACGAATAAACCAGATTTTTTTAATACTATTAAAAAGTTTATTAATTTCCTTTAATATGCATCTGATGATTCTTCAAATAAATAAACTATAATTTCCCTTTTATCTGTATTAAAAAAAATAGTTTAAACAAACGAAAATGGAAAAAATAATGAAATGAATTAAGAAGAATAAGTTAAACAAAAGTAAAAAATTTAAAATATGTTCGATTAGTTAGGTTCTACGAAAATGGTTTTGACTGTCATTTCAGAAAATTCAAAGCATTTAGATAGTGAGCTTATTATACATTTTATTTCCTTTGTTAATTGTTTACTAGATGGGGGTAATAATGCTGTTTAAAAAACTATTTATAACTTTTTTATAAATTATTAGAAATCAGAAGTCCTTTTTTTCAAATTTAGCTAGATTATCAGAAATTAAATTAAAATCATCGAATAAAGGGCTATTAATATTTAAAATAATGAAAACGAAGAAAATGAATTAGAAAATAAAGAATAATTAGATCTTTTAGAAGTAGTTTTAAAGTTCCTTCAATTATGTGTAGAAGGGCATTATCTGCCTTTATAAAACTATTTCTAAAAATAAGAAAACTCCCGAAACAATTACGATATGGTAAACCTAGTTGCAGATTTACTAAAAGCTTACTATTATGGAGATTGTACATAAACAACATATGATAATATGATCAACTGTTTAGATACTTTAAGTGAATTTGTACAAGGTCCATGTAAGGAAAATTAAGACGCAGTTTCAGATAGTAAATTTTTTGATATTGCAAGCGACTTATTCCTTTCCAAACCCAAAAAATCCCTCAGATAAAGAAATTAGGAATAAATGAATTAAGAAGAATTAAAAAAGAACAAAAAGAAGGAAAAGAAAATAGATTTTATTGAAATATACAGATAAAGTAAAAATGAACCTCTTACAAAATGGATGATTGTGCGTCTTTAAAACAAAGTCCTAGTTTTGGTTTTAAGTATTTTAGAAAGTAGGGATATAAAAAATAATTGTGATATTATTAAAAGAATTATGAGAAATCTGCCACTTCATACACTCCAAAGGCACTTCATTAAAACTTACGGGAGATTCTTTAAATATAATGCAGCATAGTTTGATATTGACTCACTTCATCATTTAGATAGAGATCCGAGAAATTTAGATGATCAAAAATTTTTCCAAAAACTATATTCGGAGAAAAAAAGTCTTAAATATGTAGATCTGTATTTAAGTACAGTTTTATAAAATGGATTTTATATTTATTTCTTGATTTCATAATATGTATTTTTTTTTTAAATAATATAAATATATTTTTCTCAAAATATAAAAAAAAAAAAATAGATAAAAGCTGATTAAAACCTTCCTGGAGAAATTGTAAGATTATTTCAAAAGCACGAGAATAAAATTTTAAACAAGAAAAAAGGAGATATAGAAGATTTATTAACTGGTGATAATATCATTGGATAATTAATATCTTTTTCTCGTTCTCTAATTGAATCTGTTTTAAACTACATGTAATAAGTACAATAAATGTCTGAATAAGCCGCTAAGAAATTATAAAAAACAAAAATCAGTTCTGAGGAATAAAAACAAGAACTAGAAAAAAAAGCAACTGAAAGGAAGACTATATTGAAAAAAGCAGTAGATTTTTTCGCCCAAAATACATCCCATATTGACATTTTTAGAAACGAATAATTAGAACTTGTATATTTTATTAGATTACCCTTTATATTGTGTTTACCTAAAGAACAAAAAATTAATTTCCATTAAAAATGTGACAGAACAAATATTAAATCTAAATAATTAGATTTAATAAAAGAAGCCTCAGAAATAATAGAAATATGCCGACACGAGTATAGACTAAAAAAATTATTTCAAACTAATAAATTATTGGCTCTTTTTGCCAATTATGTTAAACTATGGAAAGATTTATCTTTTTTATTTGGATTAACACTCAACATTATTATTTTTTTTTCTTTTGCAACTTCGGAATCGTCTACTTTGTATTAAAGAATAATGGAAGATTACTAACTCTTTTAGTAAACATAATATACTAGAGAATTTACAAGAAAAGTTTTTAATATATTGGGTATATTAATGCTTGTGTGTAGTTTATTTGTTTTACTTTTCTTGCTGTTTAAAAATGTTCCTTTAATAGTTAAAAGAGTAAAAAATAATATATTATTACAACTAAAATATAAAATAAATTTAAAAATAAAATTATATTTATTTAATTTAATTTAATTTATTTTTATAAAAAAGACATTAAATAGTGGAAGTCAATTAAAAGATAAAAAAGATAAATTAGGTTATACATTTTTATTGATATTGAAAATTTTCTAAATATTATTCACATTCATATAAGATATAGAAGTACTTTATTATCTAACATATAGTACATTGGCTATTATTGCCACTTTTGTACATCCATTTTTCTTTACTTTCCATTTATCTGAAGTTCTATTGAGATATCCAACACTCAAAAACGTTATTATGTCAATTTATTTGCCCAGAAGGCAGCTTTTGTTAACTTTTTTATTGTTGGTTATTGCTGAATATATATTTACGATTTTTGCTTATACTTTTTATAATTAGGATTATATGGGGAATTGCTCTTCTATGTTATATTGCTTTTTGTTTACTTTTGATTAGACTTTTAAAGCAAATGGGGGAGTGGGAGGTTATTTAGCTGAAACTACGGGCTAAAAAAATACTGCATAATTTAATTTTAGTAGATTTTTCTTTGATAATTTATCTTAGTATGTCCTTGTGACTATTATGATTAATATTGTGAGTGGTATTATTATTGATAATTTTGGAATTCTAAGAGATAAGTAAAATGAAAAAAATTAAGATATGAATAATTATTGCTTTATTTGTGGAATTGAAAAGTTATCTTTATAAAAATTTTAATTTATATAAATATAAATATTTTTAAGGACTACATTTGATAGAAAATCGGACTCAGGAGCTGGATTTTAAAAGCATATAAAATTAAATCATTATATGTGGAATTATATATATTTTATGGCATATTTAGAATGGAAAAACAAAAATGAATATACAGGTATTGAAAGTTATGTCGATTAATTATTAAAAGATAATGATACTTATTGGTATATTTTTTTAAAAAAATTATATTTAATATAATTGTAATTTTTTAAAATTACTCATATATATAAAATATATATATATATTATTAATATATTTTTATTAAATAAATATTAAAAATAATTAAAATAAAAATAAATAGCAAAAAATAAAATATAAATATAAATTTATATAAATAGAAATATATAAAAATAAAATTATATATAATAAATATATATTTATTTATTTAATAATATTTTTATTTATATATAATAGGATGCCATTTAAAAAAGCAAGAGAACTAACAGAAGGGGATGATGATGATGAATAGATTGATTTAACAAAATTAAAAGAAATTATAAGAGATTAAAATATAATTTAAAGAGATTTAGATATTATTTAAGAAGTTGTGGAAAAATTCAATAAAGAAAAAAGAAAATGAGAAAAAAATCTTTTTAATTTTTTTTTTATTTAATATATTAAAAAATAATATAAATGCGTTTAATATAAAAACATTTATTTGTTTAAAAAATAATTAATTGTTAAATAAAATATTAAATATAAATTATTTTTATTTAAAACAAAAAAATTATATTAAAATAAATAATTAAAAAATATTTTATATATAATAAAATCTTTTATTATATAATTAAATAAATCTAAATAATAATAATTTTTAAAGATAAATTAAAATAAAATAATAATTTTAAGAATTTAATATATTGTAAATTATATAAACTAAGATAATATATATAATATCAAAATTATTAAGATATAAAAATGATTTAATGAAAAAAATATAAAAAATAAAAAGTTTAATTATTAATATTAATATAAAGTATAATAGAAATAATAAATATAATAATAATAATAATAATAATAATAATAATAAAAATAATAATAATAATAATAAATTATTTTATATTAATATTTAATATTATAATTTTATTTATATTATATTATATATTTTTAGTTTTTTATTTATTTTAAATAATATATTTTTTTTATCTATAAAATTTTATTATTTACTCTTTTTTTTTTAATTAATAATATTTTTTCAGAATAATTAATATATATACAATCATTGAGAATTCATAATTTAACTTAAATTTTTTATTTTATGCGTTAAAATATTTTATTATTTCTAAATATAAATATATTTATTTAATATTTTAATTTTTATAATTTTTAAATAATCTTTGTTTATATATTTAAAATTGTTTAAATTTTATTTTTTAATAATAATCTAAATTTAATTTTATATTTATTTTATTTTTATATATTAATAAGTTCTTATCTTATATTAATTGTCTATATATACAAATAAATATTTTTATTATTTTTTATCTAATAATTTTATAAACTAAGATAAAAAAATAAATTTAATAGAAATTTATTTCATTTAAAAATATATCTTTTTTTTTAAAATATAAAATTTTTTTTATAAATATTTTATTTTGTTATATATTAAATATATTATTGTTTGCTTAAAAGTGTTTAAATTATATATGCTATAATTATTTATTAAATTATAAATTTAATATTTCAATATTATATTTAAATATTTATTTTGTAAAAATAAAAATAAAAAAAATATATATTTATAATTTTTTTTATAAATATAATCCATCAAAAATAAGAATTTATTACTAAAATTATTTATATATATTATAATATTTTTATATTTTAATAAAATAAATATTTTAATGTTTCTTATTACATAAGAAGATTGGTTGGACCTAAAAACAAAAAAGAGCAAGAGCTTATTTAAGAATCTAAACTTTAAAATTAAGTTACTAAATTTATGATAGATTTTTCAACATTTTTATCAAAAAAAGATTAAAAATATAAATTTTCAAAGCCATCAGTTAAAAAATTAATAAATATATACAAATAATTTTTTTAAAAAGCTTTTAAAAGCATAATTCGTATACCACAAATTCAAAGCAATAAAAGGGAATGGTAGAATAAATGATTTATTCCATGGAGCAGTCTGCCTTTTTATAATTGGAAAAGACGATGACATTTTATTTAGCGAAGAAACTTGTGTTAGATATTTTTTAACATTAAATGAAAGAAATATTGCAAAAGAAAATAAAAACATAATGATGATGAGTAAATTAGAAACCGATGAATAATTGTTAGATTTTTCTAAAAATTTACCAAACGATTTAGTTTATAAGAAAATTCAAAAACTAAGAGAAATAGAATAAGATATTCTAAAAACAATAGGTAAAAATTTAATGATATACATGTAAAAAATTATATATTTTGATAAAAAGGGTTTGACTTAGAAATCGAAGTAATAACTCCTTATATTGATAAATTTATAAATGAATATTCAGTATTATAAATATAAAAATTTCTTGGTGATATTAAATTTATAGAAGTCCTAAAAACTTCAGAATTATGGGCTAATGATATTTATAGGTCAAATTTATGTTTATATTATCATCCTATAATATTAGCTTATACTGCATTAAATTAAGCATAGAAAATTAACAAATATATACTGCCTGATTATAATAATAAACCATGGTGGTAATTTTTTGACTTTTTAATAAAATTAGAAGAAATAGAAGAAGCAACTAATTACTTTAAAAATTTTGTCAAGTTTTTATAATTATGATATTAATTTTTTATTCGAAAATTTAGATTAATTGAGTTCTACTTTAATATATTTTTTTATAAAACAAAAATATATGTCCTTTTAAAATATTTTTTTTTAAATGTTATATAATAATATAAAAAATAAATAAAATTTTTATTGATATTATATTATAAATATATTATTAGAATAAAATATTAGCTTTTATATAAAAAAAAGTTTAAAAATAATAAATATCAAACATGTAATAAATGCAATTCTAATTACGTATCATTATTTATTTACCTTTCTATTTACTAAAATAAATAAGCATATATAAAATATCCAAAAATTGCACAAATAGTTATTAAAATCCAAAAACTTATAATAATATTATGAATTCTATCTGCGAAATCACCACAACCCTTATCGTATGCAAAATTAATCATAATTAAGTTAAATCCGATATTTAAAAAAGTAGCTACATCTATAATTTAAAGCTTTAATAAAATTTATATTTATTAAGATGGTATTAAATTATATGCAATTAAATATAAAAAATATTAAATAACTAAAAGATTTAAAATTATATAAAAATAAGTAGCTTAAATCATACTAATACATATATCTCGCATTGGTTTACACCTGCTTCTTTGTTTAGATTCATCAGTAGGTTATATATAATATTAAAAAACTAAAAGAATGCAACATCTCAATATTTTTTAAAATATTTATTAATAATAATTCATATTTTATAAAAAAAAATTTTGTAAAAAATATTATTTTTAAATAATATAAATTTATTTAATAGTATAAGTTTATTTTAAAAGTTTATTTTCAATATTTAATAGTATATAAATTTAAAGAAAATTATAATATTTAGACACTATGTTTATTAAATATTCTTTGAACTTCAAAAAATATTACAATTTCCACTTTTTTTAATAATTACAAATTAAGATATTGGATTTATTTTATTTTAAACATGAAACTAGGCAAAAACAGGTCTATGATCCGACCCAAAAACATTAAAAGCCAATTCATAATTAACAAGTTTTATTGTATCCTAATTTTTTTATCTGAATAAAATTCTATCAGTCCATCCTGGAATTCTACTTTTTTCATATAAATTATTATTATATTACATTTTATAACTAGGTGGAAATAAAATTAAACCTTCTTTAAATTAAGAGAAGATGTTTTTATTGTTTTTTTCTTTTTATAATTAATCATTTTTTAATAAATCCAAATATTTTCCTTCCGAAATCATTTAATATACCAAATCTTTATTTTCACTATCAATTCTATAATTGAAATCGCCCATCCAAAAAACAAAATCAAATCTATTTAAAACTTCCTCTTATTTATTCGAAAAGTTTTTAGGTAAATTAAGTTTTTAAGAAATAATTTAATAGTTTTAACTTCTTTTAGAATTTTTATTTTACCCAGAAGTAAAATGTGAATTAATAAACAAATAACTCTTATTACCAATATCAAAACAAATCCCTATACCTCCTTTGTTTCCAATCAAATTAAAAATACCTGTCGCTTTAGAATCTTTACTTATACAACTTATATATTAAGAAATGCTTATATGTCCAAAAACAACTAAATGCATTGCATTTAAACTCACTGAGTTAATAAAAGTATATTCTTTTCCAATTTATTCTTTTAATATATTCTCCCATTTTTATTTTGATTCGCAACAAATACTTGCTAAAATAGATCTTTAGCATTCTTAAGTAGCTATAACAATTACATGATGTTTTATTTTTTGAGTACAAAAAAGCTCCTTTAAATTTTATGAAGGAATTTTTCCGTGCATATTCCATGTTATACATAATACTTTTATATCTGTTGATATTAAAGGATTATCAAGTTCCTTTTCTTCAAAAAACCATAATGGCTATCTTTCACTTTCAAATCTTTATAATATCTATTATTTTTATTGTTTATTTTCTTGAATTGAATCTATAAATTAAATTAAATCTGTTTATGATGTATTTATTAAATATTTATTTTATATATTTGCATATCTATTTTTTTTTATAATTATATTTTATATAATTTATTTGTTTATTATTAACTCATTTTTTGATAAATATATTTTTGGATTTAAAGTTTATTTATTCTATTAATTAATATATTTTTTTTTTATAAGTATTTTTACACTATTTTCGATATTTTCATTTTCTATTTAAAATGAACTTTTATTTTGAATTCTTTATCTATTAAATGTTTATCTTCAAATACTTATTACATTTAATTATTATTTTTCAAATTTGAAAATATATATTTTTTTTTATTTAAAAAAAAATAACATTATCAAATGAGAGAAAAAAATAAAAATATATTTATATATAACATAAAATAATTAATAAATATTTATATTAAACATATATTAAAAACAAAAAATTTTATAAAACAATTATCTTGAAAAAAATATTTTAAAAATCATATTATCAATTCTTTCTATAAAAAATATAAAATATTAATATATTATAATAATATTTTTTACATTTTATTTTATACTGTTATCCTAACATAATCCTTATTTTTTTCTTTCTTTCGCTAATGCAATCCAATCAAAGTCATTATCATTTTCAAATCCTTCTTTTTAAAACCTTTCTTTAAAAAGTGATAAACAATAATTATAATCCGGTTTTTCATCAAATCTAATATTTCTGCAATAAGCCAAATATTTCACAAACTCATCAGGAAATCCTTTACATAGAACTTCCACAGGAGTAGATAATTTTTTTTCCATCATTTTTTCATATTTATCTTTTTTATTATCTGCTTTTAAATTTTACCAAGGCAACTATCCTCTCAAACAATAAATTAAAACATATCCCAAAGCTTCCATATCATCTCTTCTAGCCTACTCTATACCTAAATGAGTATTAATAGATGCATACCTAGCCGTTCCAGTTAAATTTCTATTATCTTTATAAGGAATATGTGTTCCATCCCTTTACAAATACCTCTTTGCTAGTCCGAAGTCAATAATAAAAAATTTACTAAATTTTTTACCTGCCCCAATTAAAAAATTATTTGGCTTAATATCTCTATGTATAAAGTGCCTTTAATGAATATATTCTAGCAGCTAAATTAATTACTAAGCTATCATTAAAACTGTTTTTAATGTAAATTATCTATTACAAAATTATAATAAATCTTCCAATGAAGGGCCTAATAAATCCATAACCATTATATTATAATCTCCTTGTGTAGAACAAAAATAAACCTTTTTTTTATAATAAAATAAAAATATAAGTACTATTTTATATATTTATTGAGTAAAATTTTTTAGTTTTTACTTAAGGAATACCCTTATCTAAAATTTATTCATCCTGAAGTAAGTATTAATATATTTTTACTTCATAAAATAATTATGGGTGTTTGGTGTTTACAGGTTCTAGTTTTATAGCTACTTCCATGTTGTTTTTTATATTTAATGCATGAAATATTTAACCAAATGCACCTTCTCCTAGTTTTCGCGTTATTTTGAACTATTTTCCTATTCTAATATCCATTTTATTTTTATATATTATTAATCTTTTTTATAAGTTAATTGATAATTAAAAATGCGATAGAACTATTAGATGTATTTTTTTTCAAATAAGTATTTAAAATTAATAAATATTTATATAAAAAATATTATTTTAAGGATTAATTTTCGAGGATATTAAATAAATATAAATACTATTTTAAAAATGTTATATAGAACTTTTATTGAGATTTAAAAATTTTTGAGCAATTAGGAAACAACGAAAGTATTTAAATTTTATGAAATTTTAATAAAAAGTCTTGATTTTTTGTTGTTGAAAAATCTAAATTAAAAAAATAATGAACATTAGATATTTTGTACTCAATAAAACTTTGAATAAATATTAAGCAATTTTCTAAATTAAGAAAGTAAAAACTAATATATGATAAAATAAGCTTTTTAAAAAATATCATTTATTTGAATTAGCAAATAATTCATAATTTTATGCTATAAAATTTATACTTATATATTTAAATAATGAAAATAATAAAACTTTAGAAAATTAATTTTTTGAAATAAAACATTTCTTTTTGGCAAAAGCCATTAAAATTAATATAATTCAAATAGGATTAATTAATTCCTTAACTTTAAAGCTTAATTCATAGTAAATTAATTATATTAAATTTATCATTTAATAATTTAAATAATATTAAATGACTTATTTATTTAAAATAATTATAGTTTCTAAATATTAAATACAATCAAATTAATTCATTGGAAGGAATAAATAATATAAATTAATTAAAAATTTTGTATGCATATAATATTGAATCAAAGTAAATTAATTTAAATATCTTTTAGAATTTAAACTAAATAGAGTAATTAGATATTGAGAAAATTTAATAAAACCTATATTAAAATTAAATTTTTAATTTAAAAGAATATTCTATTAAATCATAATTCTAAATAAATATATTCTACCTGATTGATTTAATTATATTTTTTCAAATTTTATATATTTCAAAATACTAAAATTCATTAATTTTAATGAATTATGTGAATATTAATAAAGTTTTATTTTCTAATTAATAAAAATCAATTTATTGTATAAATTTAAATATTATTTTAGAAAATCGCATAATAATAAAATATAAACTGTTAGTTATTTTTAATTTTATTTGAAAATTTAATATTATTATTGTTTTATAATATTTTTATAAAAAATATATTTAAGTTATCATATTTTTATAATTAATTTTATTAAATAAATATTAATAATATATTTATTTTTTGAAAAAATTGATATGTTTTTTGTTTTACTCAAATTTATATTGAAGAGAAAAAATATTTTTTTTAATATATTATTATATTAAAAATTATATTTATTAATTTTATCTCCTTTTTTGATAAATGAAAGTTTTTTAAGATTAGTTTGATTATTTAAAATGTGATTAATAATAAATTTTGTAAATAGTTCATTAAGGTAATAATTATTAAATTGAATAATAAAATTTTAAATATTTAATAATAGATGATTATATAAAAATATATAAAAACGATTTTCGAGAAAGAAATATATTTAATAATGTATAATATGATGTATATGAATAGACACATATAAAAAAAGTTTAATAATATGCATTTTAAAAGATGAATTCTAAAAATTAATTGTAATTATAAAAATCCTTTTTTTTTAAAAAAAAATAAAAACGCTATAAAGATTCAATGATAAATGTTTTGTCTTAAAATTTTTATATGGGAACAAATTCAATATTTAAAAAGTTTATGAAAATATTAATAATTATTTAAGCTGGATTTAAAATCCAAAAACGTTTTAACTTACTCAACAATCATAATAACATTTAGTAAATAGAAAATCATAAAACATATTTTTTTAATATATATAAAATATAGGAATAAGGATATGTTTATTTAGGAGGAAGAGATAAATCTTTAAGACCAACAATCATTTTTAGAGTGGATTTAATGGATTTAAAAAAAATTACTTAAGAATCAATATTATAAGCTTGTTTTAGAATATTTTAAATTGCAGAGGAAACATATTTTTATCCTTACCATATAGAAAACTGGAATGTTTTCATTTAAACATAAAAAATGAATGTATTTAGTTTTCCTTTTAAGGTTAATATTTTTTTTAATATAAATAAAATTTATGTACGTTTTTAAAGGTCCTTGGAGAAATAATAAAAACAATGTAAAATATATTTCCATCAAATTTAAATAAACTTTTTATATTAAATCCTTCAAAATCTTTAAATTTTTCTTGGAATGTAATAAAATGTAAAATATAAATATTTTTTTTTAAAAAAGAATAAAATAAAACAAAAAAGCCTTAATAAATGAAAGATCTTTAAAAAAAATATAATTTTTAGATTAAGAATAATTGAAATAGTTATTACAAATTTACGATTCTGATTAATTAGAAGAAGCTTTTGGAGGGGCTCATCCAAATTTAAGCATTTTTTATCCGCCTTAGAACTTTAATAAAATCAGAAAATAAGAATAGTAGTAGTAATTTTAAAACTAAAATAATAATGATTATGTTAAAAATTAAAATAGTAGTAACGGAATATAATATTATGACAAATCTTATTTATTTGATAAATAAAATACATAAAATTAATTTATTTTAAATAGATAAAGTTTCAGATAATAAGAAGATAATTACGCTGAATAAATATAAAGCAAATATATAAGTTGGACTAAATAAATGAAGTAATATTAAAAATGAAAAATATTATCATTTATAAGAATAAGAATATGGAGTATGTAATCTTATATGAATATAATTTTAATCTTAATACATAATTCAATATGTATTAAAAATAAAAATATATATTAAATTATAAATTTAATATAATATTTTAAACTTATTTTTATATTTAAAAAATTATATTTAAAGAACAAAATAAATAATAATAATTCTCTTTTTTTAATTTTAAATAAAAATAATTAAGATCTTTATTTCTTAAGTTTTATATTTAAATTTATATTGCAAATTTTTAATTTTCTAATTTACAAGTAAAATATATCTAATTTTTTTACTTTATAAATTTTTTTGTTTTGTTTTGTTTTTTAACTAAATATATACATATTAAAAAAATACAAAGAAACAAGACAATATAAAAAAATAAATGAGGCAAAAAATAAATTTAAATAAAAAAAAAATAAGAATAGTAAACACCTAAGCCACAAATATTACTAAATCAAACATAAAATACACAAATGAATTAGTATTAGAAGAAATTCGCAAAAACAAATTAAAGTACAAATAGTAAATCGCAAAGTTACAACAACACGTAGATTCCAAAAACGACTTTGAAGATGAAGAATGCGAAGAAGACATAGATTTATATGATATGGAAACATATGAATAAGAGCAAGAATATAATAATAAACAAAGTAAAAAAAAATATAAATAATATAAATATATATATAATATAGAAACATAATTGTCTAATAAATAACAATAAGAAAAACCCGATTATTTAATAACATATAAAAAGACAAACTTATATTATATATTAGCCACAATAGTAATTTTTTTAATAGGATTTATTTATTATTCCATATACATATCTCTTGAATAATACTAAGAGTCATTTTTAAAAGCTTTTCTATATCAAAACGTATAAAAATAATACAAGTAACCTGTATTTAAAAAGACAGAGATTTTTCTCCCTAATCATAATTTACATTATCCTTTTAAACTTTATGAATACCAAGATTCTAATTTTTTATCTTATTTATAAAATAAAATAAATTCAGGTTAAAAGAAATACCAATAAGATATAACAAATAATATTTTTTTTAGCTCAGAATTTGTTCCTATTATATTTATTCATGGATAAAATGGATCCCCTGAATAAATAACTCCCTTTTGTTAGCATTTACATTAATTATTAATATATGAAAATGAAAAAAACCTCCGTTAATAAAAAAATAATTTGCATTTAATCCAAAAACAATTCAGATTTTTTACTCTTGATTTTTAGAATTCTCCTTCGTTACATTCAGTTTCCTTAGTAGAAAGATAATCATAATTTTTAATAAATGTAATCGAAAGTATATAAACTCTAACAAATTAAAAAATAATTATAATTTCGCATTCGACAGGAGGCCTAGTTTTACTAGAATGCTTAACTTCTATATAGATTTAATATATAAATTTAATTTCTTAAGTCATTTTTTTTAATTCCCCTCTAACCTCGCATCCTTTTAACGCAAATAGTAGATGGAATAATAAATATAAAAGAATATACCAACTAATGAACTAAAAAATAGATTTTCTTTAAAATATTACATTCTTAAGCTTTACTTCAGGCCCCTAAGATTTAATAATTCCATAGGAAATAACATATTTAAAGACTAAAGTAAAAGCCAATCTACATTTTTCAACGTAAAATATTCGAGATGTATTTATTTCTTTGAACCATACAGAAACTTTACATTATTAACCTTTTACGAATGTTTTATCCAAATATTTTATTATGGACGTTTATTATAATTAATTTCAAAACGGAAATAATTTTAGACTAATTGCTCGATATTTTAATAGTTTTGATATACACTACGAAGATCAAGTAAACTTAAATTATTTGAAATTTTCGAAAAAATAATTAGAAGATTAATGCACGGATATATCTGTTGGATATCAATAAAATTTTAAATTTGATTTACAAAATGGAAATAAAATTTAATTAAATAAATAAAATGTAGAAGATTTTTCTGAAAGAAAAATTTCCTTTGATAATTTAAGCATTTAATGTTTAAAAATAAACCGGACGTATGGACATAGTAATTATTTTTATATTAAAACTAATTTATATGCATAAAATTTCAAATTAATAACTTTTTAAAATCGTGAAAATTACCGTTAGCACAAAAACTTTATAAAAATGGAAAAGAAATAGAAAATTTAACAATATTAATATATTAAAAATTATAGAAATTTCCAAGAAGATGATGAAATTCCGTAATAATAATAATACAAAAACGGAAATTCAATCAATTATATGTTAGAAGATTAAGAAATAATTGAAATTCCTCCAAACTTTTCTTTTTTTTTCACTACAATATACTTAAATATGTTCGAAGGATATTAAGGAAACATTTATCTCCTTTACACATTATAAACAGATTCCTATTTATTAAAAGAATACACATAATTTTATAAACATACCCCAAATTACAAAATTTACAATGTAGAAATCGTTTAAATTGAAGTCATTTAATAAAAAGAGCAACTAATAAGTAATATTTAAGAAAAATTATACCCCAAATAAGAACAAAAACAAGGCCAAAAAGTCATAAAAAAACCCATATAAAATCAAGAAGAAATTCTCTTAATAAAATACACTACAAGTCCTTTAGGCATATTTAGCTATATAAACTCTTTTTAATAAACCGATATAATTAATATGTACAATTAATGGAATAAAGAAGATTTTTTCATTACAATATTGACTGATAGTGAGACTAAAAAATAAATAAAAGTCAACTTCTCGTATGCAAGTGACGATCAAAATAATATTGAAATTTATAATGTTTAAAATAAAGAAATTACATTTATTTACAATTCAAATTAGAATCGAGAAGTAGACTTTGTATCAAATTCAAATTATTTAGAGTATATATATTTACTTATGAGGACTTATAAATAAGTAATTTTGAATATGAATATTATATTATGCTGTTATTTTCTCATTCTTTAAATTAAATATTATAACCCAAGTACTGATTCACCTTCTTTTTACCATATTTTCGAATAGAGATTTTTATAGTTTATTATTGTTGAAGGAAGTTTACTATATTTATTTCTTTTTTTAAAAAAAAGCCTTTATTATGACTCTGTTAATTAATAATAAACCAATATATACTCGAATGTGTAATCTGTTTAGTATTATTTTAGTATTACACAAACCTCCATTTTAATTTTAGTTTTAAGTATAGCCTCTTTTGCATTTTTTAAAAGCATTTATTACGTTTTTTCTAGAGTTAGTTTTTATTTGTGTATTTGTGTTAAAAACATGATTATTTAAATAGAATTTTTTATTAATATTTACGAAAAAAATAAATATTTATTCTAACCTTATACATTCATTTTGCCACTTTTTTTTATGAATAATTTTTCTTTTAAATGGTTAATTTTAATTTTTGCTTTTTTAATTATTTTAGGAGTACTTTAAGTAAATAATAAGCCTTAATTAAATTAGAAAAACCTAATTTTAGGATATGGATATTTAATTTTTTTAATTTTATTATAAATATTAATAATATTATGATTAGTTATTGGTGCTTTAAGAATTAAAAAATAAAAAAGGTAATCCAATTTGATGAGTTTTAAAGAGAATATTATTCTATGGTGTGTTGGCTATATTATTTATCAAATTCTAATATTATTTCTGTAAATTAACCTCCTATTATTTAATTAATATTAATTTTACTTACAGTAATTATTATATTCTTTTTGTATTTTAATTTGAATTCAACAAATGAAATTTTATGCAATACATCTTTCTTTATTACTTTTATAACTATTATTTGCTAAATAACAAATTATTTGTCCTAATGAGTATTTATTTTAAAATAGATAAAAGTTTTTATATTTATAATATGTTTATTTTAATAATGAAAAAAAATATATCCATTTTTAATTATACTAAAATATATTATATATTTTTTACTTGTTAAAAAAAATAAATGGAAACAAAAAATATATGTTTAAATAAATAAATGAAAAAAAATTAATTTTTATGAAAAAAATATTAAAAAATTTATATATTTGTAAAAATAAATAAATAATAAATTTTAAAAAAACTAAAAATTAAATAAAATCTATAAAAAAAAAATGATAATGATATTACATATATATAATTATAAAAAAAATATATAAATTGTATACATATATATATATATATATATATATATATATATATATATTTATATTTTTTTATTTTAT